AATATTGCACCAAAGGTCCTTGGTACTGGATAGTAATGTAAAAGGGACTGGGTTTGTGCCCTCCCATGCTTTTGTATCTGAGCCCCTGCCAAGGATGCATTGCTCAGCTTGACTAGCCTTTGTTGTAGGTGATGTCTTTTTTTTTTTCTTTTTTTTTTCTTTTCCATTGGTTGATTTGTTTATTTTAGTTTCTTACTGCAGTTTCTAAGGGTGCTACTTGCACAGTATTTTACATAAAATGTCCTGTGTCTGCTTTTGGTTTGTTAACGGTCAATTCACACTTTCTTTCTTAAAACATTGGCTCAACTGCAGGCTTGCATGTGTTCTTCACACTTCTGTGGTCGAATTTTTTGATTTATTTTCCCTGGGAGCCTATTGCTGACATTTGTTTCCCAAGCAATGTTTCACTTCCATCTGTTCACATAAAACTAGCTGTGCCCAAAACTTTCCAAAATTACCTGCATTTTCTGCTATTAGAATACTTTTTTCTGATTGCCTCCCTAATCTTTAATCTCTGCTATTTCTGTACAAGAACAGTGGTTTTCCACATTAAAAATAGTGTGAGCCATTTAAAATTTGTTTTTTCACTCCTTGTTGTAAATAGCTGTAGTAATTCTATCTCTATGAAGTTGTTAAAAAAAAAAAATTAATTCATTCTTTATGTGCATGTAAAATAAATCCTCTATTTCCTTTCTTCAAATTCAAATTTAGGATTTTGACCCGAACTTTAGATCGTGTAGGTTATATTTCACACTGTTCTTTCTTTGAGTTTTCAGGATTGTGAGGCAATTAGGTCGTGATTTTCTTGTTTTAATGCAACCAGATATGTTTCATATGCTATATTTCCAGTAAGTTTATGCCTATAAGATGGAGTGTGATTTGAAATCATATCGGGTCTGCTGTTAATATTTCGAAGTGTGAAGGAAACGTGTAGTATTATTAAATACAATTGGTGTGGTACAACACTGCAGCGGCTAGAGGGCAGCAGTACCCATTTAAAACCAGTATTAACAGTTTCTGAGGCTGCTAAACCCTGCCGTGTTGCTTTGTACCAGCCACTTTGGCTTGCTGCAGCGTGCTCGGATTCTGGCTGATGTTTGGTCTGCCTGCACTTGTCGCTTTTTAGTGTTAGTGGAAGAAAATAGCAGTAAAAGACTTATTATGGAAATGAATTCAAGGAAGAATCAGTGTTGAGATACATGTCCTTTCTCTCTCTGATGAGAAAACAGCTCCCCATGATGGAGTGATTTTTCAGAAGTTACCCCTTCTTTTTACTCTTACGGGCTTTGTTTTAGGCTGAGAAGCAGATAATCATGTTTTTATATATACAGTATTCCTGTGCAAGAACCTTCTTGTCTTTGCCTAATATTTAAATTGACCTTGAAACGTCCTTGCTTTTCGCACTAGAAAAATACTTTTTTTTTTTCCCTTTTTTCCCCCTCAGGCTGCATGCTAAGCTACTTTCAAGATAAATTGATCTCTCTCCCCTATTGGTATGTGGCTACAGCTGATGTGACGTATAGGGAAATGAACAGGTTCCGAACTTGCGTTTTAGTAGAGCCTGGACGTACGTGTTTAGAAGCGGTTGTTGACTTGGTTGCCTTCGTTCTGACATGGCCGCAGAAAAGAGATTTTTTTATTTTTTCTTGATGGCCTGGGTTCTTTAGAAAATCCTTGGGTGCCTGTTTTGTTTAAAGGAAAATAAAATATAGACACAGACACCCACACACACACACACACACACACACACACACACACATATATATATATATGTATATATCCTTTTTAGACAGGTCCATATGGTCCATACTTAAAAATACTCATCGCTCTTTTGGAAAGTTCAGCTGCTTTAACCGCGCTGCAGACCATCCCCGAGAGACCCAGCACCGTGGCCCGGCTGGGATTTCTGCGCCAGCTGGCTGCCTCCATCGGAGCAAACCCCGCCCGACAGGCGAGCTCGGCGAGAAGCCACCGCGCGCCGCGCTCATGCCCGTCCCCGCGCCTGCTCGCAGTTATTTTTCCCTAACAATTAACGCCGCCCTCACTCGACACCTTTTCCTTGCTTGGCTTTATAAACCGTCCTCCCTTTTTCTATTAATTCCAGGCATTAATATTTTCTTTCACGCAAGTGCCGCCGTTCACCCGTGAAACGGTTTGAACATTGTGTAGCTGTCAAGATACCTCGGGATTACCCAGTGTGCCTCGCCGCCGTAAGTGACACCGCCGAGGCCGGGCGCCGAGATGTTTATTTTGAGAGTAAGCTGACAAGCATGAAGGCCTGATCCCAGAGCAGCAATCTTATTTAATTAAAGGCCTCTTTTTATTATCGTTTTTTTCCCTCACTGTGTTTTTTTTTTATTTTTATACACATGCACGCACACACGCACGCACCCACACATACACGTCTATCTGTCCCTCTCTATCTCAGGACGACTACTAAAGCCTGCCTCCCGCGAGCAATGCTGTGCTGCTTTCCCCCTTCTTTTGTTTTACTTTATAACAACCTTGAAAGCTTTCAGTGCAATAATGCAGTTGGGATCCTTACTTCGATATGGTCCTGTTGCTTCCCACACTCAGAAGAAGGGCTTGGAGGTGTTTGGACTTTTATACTTGTAGATATTGAACTCGATAGTTGTTCGCTTTCTCTGTCCCCATCTTTCTCTCTCTGTAGGTTTTCCCCACACTCAGTGGTTTTTCTGTGCAAGGAGGAGATGACTTATGGCTGTAGGCTGCCTGCCTTCATCACCCTCTTCGTGCTTCCATTTCATCAGTTACCTTCCTTGTCTAGTCTGGTCACTCTTTCATGCACTTAATAGTTGTGGACTTTATTATTAGTATTGCTATTATAATTTTTAATAATGCAGCCTGCTTCTGTTTATCATGTAGATAAAAGCAATTTTGCTTTTTTTTATTTCTCCTTTTCCCATTTAAAGGAAAAGGGATTCAGGATCTTTGGAGCTGGGACAAACTAAGATGGAAAAGCTAATTGCTGATATTCCTCAATTTCTGCATCCTCTGAAGGCTTCTGCGCATATTGTGGGGCTAGATATATTGTCTGGGTGTTCCCACTCCTGTAAAGCATACTATACGTTTTATGTGAAGACTTGGTTTTCAGAAGTACCCAAATGAAAGGTCTAATCTTAACCCATTAAAAACAGTGCAGATCTGCCCTCTTACTTCATTGCCCTTTAGATCGGGCCCTTATTGTTGTTCTGTTAGAGGTAAAGGAAAAGAAATTTCTTTTTAATCTTTTGCATCTTTATTCACAAAAAGGGGTTAATTTTTGCAATTGCTACTTAGACAAAGAATTAGCTGCAGGTAGTATTTGAAAACAAATCAATGTTTTCTTTTTGTGAATTAAACACTATAAGGAGGAGACTGGCAGAATTGGCCATGGCTCCGTGTTTATCCTTTTGAATTTAAATAGAATAAAAACTTATTATAATCTTTACATGTAATTCCTTATGTCACAGGGGCACAGTTCTTCACAGTACCGTATAGTTTTCATACAGATGCTAAAACGGGGCTATTTTTTGTTGACCTATCTGTCTTTACAAACCAGTGATCAGAGCATCGGATATTTGAAAATGGAGTTTTCATGTTCTTGCTGTTTTATCAAATTAGTGAAAAGTCGGAGTCTTGATGTTATGCTGGGTTACCCTGAGCTGCCACTCATTCGTTTACCAGTAAGCAGCTCTGTAGGAACCAGAGAGGACAAATGCAGATTATTTCTGGCTGTGTGAAGGCCGGTAGAGGAGATGTCTTTTCCTGCCTGAAGCCTGCACTGCGGGCTTTCTGGGCAGCTAAATGAGTGGTCAAGAACTTGAAATGTAGTGCTTGCACTGATGGCTTTATTGGAAGTGTCTGTTCTGAATAAGTCCATTTGATTAGCTACTGTTATTTTAATGGGGAAGTTGAATTCCCAGTATAAGGTGTAATACAGTATCAAATATGACAAATGAGGAATGGCAGATGGGATCAGTTAATTGCATATCCTGCTGCAAGTCAACTTTATTCTTTACTTTATTTGTGGTCTCTGAGAGATATTTGCAAAGTCTGTATATGTATTACTGAGTCAACCATCTAGTTAAATCCTTCATGTTCCTTGCTCCCCTTTTTGTTTGATATCCTGTGTGTTGATTGGTGTTAGGGCAGATGCCATTGGTTTAATAACAGTAATAAAAAGTTGATTCCCTCTTCTGTTTTCCTTTGACAGCTGCAAGTCTTGCTGTTGCTGCCGAGTGGCACAATCCTCACGTTCTGTCTATGGACATCTGCCCCATAAAAATATGGGACGTTATTGCCGTGGCAAAATGTGCCACTTAGAAGATTAAAAAATGTGTTACCTGAATACTGTTTATTAGCCTTACAGAGTCTTTTGTGTGTGCGCTTTTTACCTTGAGCATGGCCAATAATGTCAGTATCTTCTCACTGAAACTTCACATTTGAGCTTAAATAAATTGGCAGATGACACTAGCGATGAAATTCTGACTATTATTACTCGTTCCTTGGAGGTCCCATCAAAAGTTACGATGTTTTTTTTGATTTTGGTCTTCTATGTATTCATAGTCACAGGATGACATTTTCACTCTTTCACTATCTGTTTTGTTAGTTAGCTTGTAAATATTAATTCATCCTTGGTTCCATTTGCTCTTTTCCCAAATTAAAATATTAACCAAGTAAGGAATAATTAACATTCTTTCAAAATAACATAGCAGCGATCAAGCAAACTATGAAAATTGTTGTTGCCTGCTATCAAGCAACTTTCTGGTTGTGTTCAGTAGATTTCCTATATGAACGAGAAATGCGTTATGTATTTTTAAATATATATATATATATACACGCACAGACACAGTGTGTGTGTGGTGTGTATATAAATATAGTATATTTATAAACGTGTAGTAATTTCTTATAGCTATTATTAAATTATATTTTAAGATTGTTTTCATGGCGTTATGTCGGAAGGGGGCTAATCTATTTCTTCTTGTTAATTATCATAGGTACAAGTGACCCATATGTGAAGTTTAAACTGAATGGGAAAACTCTATACAAAAGTAAGGTAGTCTACAAGAACCTAAACCCAGTCTGGGATGAGACTGTTGTGCTGCCAATTCAGAACCTCAGTCAAAAACTCTGGGTCAAGGTAAATTTTGGTTTTAGATTTTGAAAGATGGGTAGATATTTTTAAGTAATTGTTCTCTGCTTTAAATAGGTATTTATTTCTATTCACTGTAGCAGCTTAAAATAAAACATGATCTGGTTTAAGAGTTTTTAGCAATTTCAAATTAAAATGCACATATGTCTTTTCCAGATTTTACTTGGACGTTTTCCTTTCAGTCTGTGAAAACTCAAAATTGAAATAAAACTCCTTGACTGGATACATTTAAAAGTCTGGAACTGAATTCTGCTGTTACTCTACTCTGCTTGTACAAACTCAGTGAAATTGAGAGCAGTTACATAAGCAGAATTTAAGAGTGTAATTTGGCTGGGTTCAGTAGAATTATTACCTGGGATGAAGCAGTGACAAGTACAAAGCCTTTTTTCATTGTGAGTAATATTACTGTTACCAGAACTGCAAGCTACCAGTTGTAAGCACTAATTGCTAAAACATCTGTAGCAAGAAGTACCTGATCTTGTGCAACATTTCATTATACTATCATGCAGAGTATAAAGGAACAGGCACGGTCCGTAGCAGCACACATGTCTCTATATTATATTATATTAAGAAGATACTTTCAAAATGCTGTTTAAATATTTAGTTAAATATACAAATTAAAGCAGGGAGATGGAAAATTATCTGTGAATTATATCTGAGCTTTGATCTTTCAAATACAGAATAGAACTCAATGTGCTTAAAATATCTGTTCTTGTATTGGCCAGGACAAAAGTGGCTTAGAGTGTGAAAATTATGTTTATTTTGTTTGGTTACCAGGTATATGATCGAGATTTAACCTCCTCTGACTTCATGGGGTCAGCATTTATAGCGCTCGCCGAACTTGAACTCAATAGGTAATACGTTTTTTGCGTTAAAGCCTGTTACCACAGTTTAACTGAGAAACATAGTAAAATAATTTAACACCTTTGCTATTGCATGCAACTTGTCTATACGAGAAAACTTGTCCATTTGTGAAGGCTGCTTCTGACAGAAGGACGGGGAGCGCGCTGGGAAATTGTTCGAGACAAATTCTGTACGTGCCACGGCCTCACCTGGCTTTACGTACTGGATTCAAATCCAGCGTGCACAGAGCAAGGTGCAAAGGAAAGGCGCTTTTTCCTCTTCGCATCTAGGAACGAGTTGCTGTATGTGGTATTGATTAGGGAGAGCTGTTACCAGAATAATGTCGCTGGAGATGGATTGATGGCAGAAGGAGGAGGAGAAGGAGGCCGTGTAACACGGCCAGGGAGCAGTTTGCCCTCGCTGCCCGCGAGCTCCCCCTTCCCCAGCGCCCTGCGCCTGGGGGGATCGGGCCCCGGTTTAACGTGGAGGCAAGTCCTCTGCCTTTCGTCCACGGCTGGTTGGTCTGAACGTGATGCTGGAAGCCGGGAATCCAAGCTTAATTTCCCTTTTATACGGAGCCTGAGTGACTTTTCTTGAAGGTATATCACAGCTCCTGTGGTTGCGGTGCCTGAGTTTCTAGAAACATTACTGAAAATGCCACCAGATAAATACTAGCGTTCCCGTTTTCAGAGAGAGGGAACTGTGTCACGGGGGGAGATTAAATGCACAGGCAGGTAGGCAGAAAAGCCTGACACGGAGCAAGAACTAACACAGATCTCCTGAGTCAAATTCCTGTCTTTAGCATTGAAAAATGTGCTTAGAATGAGTTTCTGCCGCTTTGCTTCCCTGTAAAGCAGAAATAATAGTAACTAAGCTCAGTGTCTGTCTGCATATGGAGAGTTATCAGTAATGCTACGTGAGGGCTGGGTTGTGTTATTAACAGGGCGCTGTATTTTGTCAGAATTGCGGGGGGGGGGAACCCACTGGATTGCCCATTTTAACAGTTAAATACGATATTGGGAATTTCAGGCAAGAGGCTGAAATTTGCACTCTTCAGCGTGACCTTTCGTAATGAACTCGAGTTAACAGTGAAATCAACAAATGCACTTTTCTTTTCTTTTTTTTGGCTTGTAGAACCACTGAACAGATCTTAAAACTGGAAGATCCAAACAGTTTGGAAGATGACATGGGAGTGATTGTATTAAACTTGAGTCTAGCAGTCAAGCAAGGCAACTTCAAGAGAAATGTAAGTGGCTTAGAAAATCAAATTTATAGCTGGGATGTGTAAAGGGAAAAGAAGAGCTGGCCTAATCTGATTTACTGGCAAATGCTGCTGCTGTTTTCATCCTCTGAGACTCAATATTGAAATCTAGATAGATCATAACTTAAGCAAAACCCCCCATATTTAACTGGGGTAAAAGTTGTTCAGACAGCTATAGCTGAATGCTGCTGTCTGGTAGTCCTGAAGCACGCTGTGGCAACACTCTCCATATATCATGTATGTGTGTTATCTTCCACTAAAATGTGCGGTGGCTAAAGTGAATGAATGAACTGTGCCTTGTATGATGGCTATTCCAGAGCATGATATTTAGTGATTTACATCCAAGACTTTAGATCTTAGTGCTTTAAAAAAAAAAAAAAAAAAAACAGTCCCCGTACTGATGAAAATACCTATGTGAAATCTAAAAGCAGGGATTTGATGTCAGGATTTAGACTATGCCAGTCCATTGTAGGAGCACACTGGCTGAGGGAGACGTTGCTTGCGGAAACCCTGATTTTGCCACTGATGGTTTCTTGATTGAGTTCAGCTGAATTTGGCTCCTGATGCTGAAATATGGTGCAATTTTAATCTCAGAATAAACTGGACAGAGACTGGGAACAGCAAAGTTGAAGTTAATATGCTTTCTAAGGTTTGGGGTCCTGCAAATGTTTGGTTTGTTTTGTTTTTTGCTTTTTTGTTTTCATCTTTTAAGATTTCTACTGGCATTTTCACAAAATATAGAGTGCGCCTAAGTTGGTAAACTCATCCTGCTGTTGTCCAGGGAGCAGATTTGCAAGGATTGGAGAAAGGCCAAGATTTGGCGTTTGCTTAGCTCCAGCTTTCAAGCCTCTCTAATTTTAAATGCGAAATAAACATGTAAATTCAAAATCTTTCTAGAAGTGTTTTATATAGTCTAATAAGAAAGTTGCCGTTTACAGCATGTTTTTGAATTATAGGTATGGAATTCCAGTCTGAAAGGAATTATTTATAAAAGCATAAATGTTTCAGGAGGTTGGGAGGCAAAACAATGAAAGTTAATGTGAGATGTCTGTCATTCAGTATTTCCTAATTGTTGCCTTTTTTGAAAATTGTAAAGTCTCACGTTAAATTAAGATACTTGTAAAGTTATTTCTGCCTCTATAAATGATTATTTAGAAGCTTAATGACATCATTCAAAACACTGTTGTTTTATTTTTTATATATATAGATATGTATGCAGACCCGCATATATATAGTGCCTAGGATCTGAGATGTGAATTCCCCCACTAAGTTATCCAAGACAAAGTGCTGTTAGCACATGTGTCACTGGGTTGCCAGAAGAGGTGGAAGGGGAAGCTGTTTAGATGAAAGAACCTGAGAAATTCTTCTGGGATTTGTAGGAGGACGTGGGGTAAAGTGGACCTAGCCCATGAGACAGAAAATGCGGGGGTTTAAAGCAGCAGCTTTTGGTGCTCCTAGGTGCTTAGTTAACATTCAGAGTGCAGGTGATAGAAGAGTTGGTGCACACTGTAATTTTTTTTAAAGACGATGTTTTAAGCCCTCATATTTCAAATGCAAATTGCTCAGCCATTTCCAGTGGAATCAGAATAGTGAAATGGCTCTGTCCACATTAGCACTTAACAGCAAGATGATTTTTTTTTTTCCTTTTTAAATTAGCTTAGTGTAAAACCAGATGGCACCAAAAGTATAAGCCATGTTTCTTACTAATGGCTTTGGGTCCCTCCACTTTTTATTCTTGATTCCCCCCCCTCATCCTCTTATTTTTGGTGCAATGCAGGTATTTTGAGTTTGTTGATTGTTATATTCCATGAGGGAGGGAGGTAGATGAATGCAGTGGTAGACCCAACCAGCTACTAGGTAATAAGCTTTTCTAACACATTTTATAAGCTGCTGTTTGAATGATTTTACTAACCACTTTACCTATTTCACTCCTCCTCTGTTCCCCTTCTCTGACTTCTCTTGGGTACAATGGTGGGGACTCGTGAATAGAGATGGTCAAATCGGAAGAAGCGAACTTCATCCAAGGTAATCCATGTTTTTTCTCTTCCAAAAAAAAAAAAAAAAAGTCCCCTCCCAGAAAATCTCTGTGCGATTTTTTGAAACAGAAAGTGTAAAAATATGAAAACTTTGAAGTCTGGATCCAAACTGTCAAAATGCAGTAGAGTCATTCCCACTGTTTTTTAAATTCCTCAGTATGGTGAGAAATTGCGGCTGGTGTCTTGTTATAAGTCCTATGGTAGCGACTAGCAGTAGCAATTGAGCATAAGACCCCATTCTGCAAAGAGCTGTAGAAACAGCAGTCTATCCTGAGGAAAACAGGGTGTAAATTGAAGAAAAGGAGCTGTAAAAGATTTGAGTTGGTTCAGGATACCCGAAAGGTGGCCAGTAGTAGGTCCTGGTGTTGAAACTGGGTCTCCTGCTTGCCAGTCTAACAGTTTGTCTCTCACCACCGGAGGACTTTGGGAGGCACTGTTTCTTCTGATCGCTGCTGTGGGCTTTGAAATCCCTTTTGTTCTTGGGGTGGAGAAGCGAGCAGGCGGTTTTCACTGCTAGAAATGTAACAGGATTTTCAAGGTTTGTATGTTGCTACGTATCCACATGACTCACTTTCTTTGGTCTTCGGTAGTATCCCTGTAGGCTTCCATTACTTTTATATCCATGTACTGTCACATTTTTACATTAGATTTTAACTTGTTCGGGAAACAGCTTGTGGCTTTTTATTTATTCTGTAAAGCTTTAATCTGATATTGAGTAAATAACAATGATGCAGAAGCTGGAGGCCCAGGACCCAGCTTGTGAGCTGTACGGCGTGACTTTTTGAGAAGCAAAATTTGACCCCATGAGAACACGCATGCATCTTGCTGTTCTCCCTACGTAACTGTTAATTTGTGCGTAAATAAACTGAATAATTGACCTCTTATTTTATTCGTTACGAATGTGGTGTGGTATGTGGAGGAGCCAACCCCCATCAGGTATTGTTGTGCCAGCAAGTGTATTTCTGTAAAAAGAAGGGCAAAGTATAGCCCTTGGAGCTGGTGCGCGGCTTGGCATCAGAGCGGTCGCGGTGCGGTAGTACCGGCCTTCTTCCGCCGCCCTCGCGGCGCGGGGAGGCAGCCAGGGATCCCTGAATGCAAGATGACAGAAAGTGATGGGATAATTGAAGAGCTCAGCACTTCACTTTTTAACTAAAGCTCTGGAAATTACTAGTGCCCTCACTCAATCAGTGTAGTTTGATCCCCCTTTTTCTTACGCGTGCACACACAGCTGTCTCTTGACGCCGGTTGGCTTTGGGTCCTGGGAAAGGGAGCCAGGTTTTTAAACTCTGGTCGTTTTTGTCCAGAATAGCCAAACTTCTGTCTTGATGACTGGATTTGTTTTGTTATTTCTTTTTCTCCCTTTTCTTTTCCTTTTCTTTCTTTCTTTTTTTTTCCTTTTCCTTCTTTCTTTTTTCCTTTTTTTTTATTGTTGTACATTACATCCCATCACGTTTTGAGTATTTTTTTTTTTTTACATACAGGTTTTTTGGGATCTTTTTAGCTGTAAGCCATCTTGAAAGGTTTCCAGGACTCTGGCTAGCGTCTTCAAATCTTTTTAAATAAAATGAAAAGATGCTGAGGCACAGTGCTGAGTTAGGCAAAGTGAACGTATTGTTTAAAAGAGGAGGAAAAACGAAAGCTACAACCCTGTGCTCTGTTCTGTTACAGTCACTAGAGGGTAGGAGAGCTTCAGTTCTTCCTAGGAAAGACATAGTTCATGCTCCAGCGTGATCTCTAAAGAAAAGCTCTGTGACCATCCAAAAGCAGTAAAAATATTTCCCAGCATGCGCTGGAAAAATCTGACAAAGCAGTATTTCCTAGTTTATTGATTCTGCTACTGCACTAAAACACTAGTACTGTACATCAATAACCATCTTTAGTTAGGAAACTCTGGTCTGTGGAAGCAGTGCTAGCAGTTTGTGGCAGAACATAAAGGCTAGAAAGAAAAATTGTGTGCATGGGGAGTATAGGTGCCTAGGGAAGGCACAAGAGGTTAGGGAAGAATGGCCAGAGAGTATGATGGGGTAGAAAACAATGTTGCTGGACAAGATAAAGATATAAGACTAAGGGGAGGCAGGGGAAATGGGGAGAGCTCCGTAATGGATGCACAAACTCAGCTCCTTTTGAGGAGGACTCTGAACTGGACTTACTGAACTGACTCTGGTTGGTTGCTGCGGAAGAAAAAGACCATATACTTCCTGTTTAAGCAACAGAATTCCCGATAAATCCAAGTCTCACTGGCACAAATATGTGAGACAGATCTCAATTTCATCTCTGTGTTTAGGCAAGTAAGTTTTCTGTTAGTAAAGGTTTCCCTGCTTTTTGCACTGAACTACAGCTGGCCTGTATTGTAATGTTTAGCTTTTCTTGTAACACAAATGTGGGGAAAATTACTTATTTTAATATTAATTATAATTATATTAATATTTAAATATTTAATTAAAATGAGACTTCCTCAGCTTTTTTCTAGTTTGTCTTGATAACGTGAAATAATTCTGGTTATATACTAATCTGACGAGTTTAGTGTTGTCTTAGTGCAGCTGGCAGATGAGGTATGTGTCAATGTCCTACATGAGTCTCGTTGCATTGTTCACTTGATCCTTGCTAGGTTCCCAAATCCAGAACGGTTAGTACCTCTGTGTGGCTAGTATTGATACCTGATGCAGTCCCATGTCAGAGTGGTAAAGAGATTCACATGAGCTGTTGTTAGGCACCTTGCGCTTTCCGTGCGTGTTCTCTAAACTCCTTGCATTTTTGAGAACAGTGAAAATGGCAGCAGTACAAGATGATCCAGGCTAGCTGCAGTTGTCTCACAGGCCTTACAAATAGTATGCAAGAAGGATCTCAGTAGCAGAATATTGTCTTTTAAATCAATTTGGTGCGAGAGTTGTTGAACTGGATGATTTAACTATCTATTGTTTTAAACAGTGTACATTTTTCACTGCTACTAGAAGGGGACCGTCACATATTTGGGCAGACAACACCATGGGCAGCACATTCAGATCCCTCGTTTTTCATAGGAGCCAAGAGCAGCCTTGTCCTCCGTGGGCGGCGTCTCCGAAAGCACAGCCGCCGCCTTTTCTTATGGAGCCCAGCAGTACAAAGGGAGGGGGATGCTATTAAGTAATATAAATCCATGCGCTTGCACTCGTGTGTTGGCAAGGTCTCCCCTTTTTTCTGTTTCTGGGCTAGCTGGGGGCAGGAGGAAGGGGCAGGCTGCTCTGCTGCAGCGTGCTGATGCTCAGTAGCCTTGTTTGTCCCGGGTGGCTTGAGTCTCGCACTGAGCGCCCTGCACGCTATTCCCAGCATTTGTACAGCTGAGTAACCTTTAAGTGTTGAACATCTATGAAGCAAATAAGCAGGTTCACTTGGGGTGGATTGACCTGCAGCAGTTTAGACCTGAAACAAAAGCGATGCAATTGCCACCTTGATAGCCGAAGCTGATTGAATAAATTGGCTGAAAGGCTGACTGGACCGAAGTCCTCCGAGTCATCTCATCGCTGGGGAAAATCTCTCGCTCTCCCTTTTCTGCCTGGGCTGTTAGGTTTCGTTTTTGCCTGCCTCGTTGTGTTTGGCAATACCCTTTGGGCAGCGGTGATCTCTGACCGTTTCGCAGAGCCGTGGAAGCCGCTTGCCACGGGGTCAGGCGTCGTGGCGGCAATCTCGTGTCGGTTCACTTGCCTTTCTCGCTGCCCTCCCCTCTTTCCCGGGGGAGAGACTGCCTCTGCGAAACACTTTCCCTGGCTAATGAGGAGAGGTCCAAAGAGTCGTCATATTTGCGTGTTGTTGTTTTCTCAGATGACAAATTACGCGGCCCAGTTTCTCCTTTGACCTGCTTGCGGGGATCGGAGCAGACTTTCTGTTGTCCTGTCTCATCCTTTTAAGTGAAAGATGTGAGAGACGGGCTCGCTTCACACTTGGCCACCTCGCTGTGTCATTTAAATGTACAGTGTTTTCTGCATCTTTTTATTGCTTCAAAAACAAGTTTGAACTTGGGGCATATATGTGCGTGTCAGGAAAAAAAGACGGATTTGGAAGCAATCCCGAGGCACCGGAGGGGATTCGTTGGGTGCCCACAGAGGGAGATGATGTACAAATGGTGTTACTGGGGAGGCTTGAGCTCCTAAAGGATTTGGTGAACCTCGTTCAGTGAGCCAGTTCTTTCCCCTCCAAAGCTCAGGCCTTCCTGCTCATCTCACATATTGTACATTGGTCGGTGAAGGCAGAATATGACCCATCTGCTCATGATTGTCCAGCTTTCTTCTTTAAACAAGAACCAGAAAGTAACCAAAAACCAAGTCGATGTGAAAAGATTTTATACTCGTTGGGAAATCGGAAACTAGATTCTGAAAATGATACAGCACTGATCCCACCCCTTCACACCTCCCTGCAGAGCTTTGGGAGGCTTTCTGGGGAAATGCCGTTTCCAAGTGGGAGGGAGAAGAATCATCTTCTGTTCCATGTGTGGCAGGGTCCCACTCCATGACTGGGCTCTACTTTTGTGTCAGAGAAGATTACACCATGTCCTCTTGCCTAACGTTGTACGATCCCTAAATCTGCAGTGAAACGGGGCTCTTGAACTTTTAACAACATCTAGTTGTTTTTTGAATGTTTCTGTGCTCCTTATTCCTTTCATTCTTTCTGACTTGCGTGAAGGATTTTTTTGTTCACGTCATCCATTTTACGGTATTGAACTGCTCACACTGCTACGGTATCCCTGGTTATTTGCGAGCTAACACCCAAGCCAGATGCATGTGTGAAAATGCTTAAGTGCATGCAGACCCTGGTAAAAAATCAGAGCTCTATCTGGAGACTATCCCTAAAATTCCGCTCTCAAGACCATCCTCAAGACCAAGAGTTACTGGGAGCGGGGGGAAGAAAGAAAGAAGAGGGAGAAAGCAGTTTGTGTCGAAACAAGGAGTCTAGGAGGGAAAGGCATTTTACTAAATTAGATTTGGTACAGAGTTATTGTCTAACCATAGAGAAGCTGAGGCTCAGCAAAATGAAGAGACGTGCCCAACGTCTTGTGTTCAGGATGTGTGCCAACTTCCATAATAAAGCACGCGTTTCCTAATTTCAAGTCCCTGTAGCCTGATCCTAGCCTCAGCCAACTTTTCTGAAGCCTCTGCAAAGCACCTTTACTTTGGTCTGGGACCTAGCCAGAATGAGAGCTGGCTGACTCCAGGGAGAATACAGGAAAAAACAGCAGGAGAAGCCTGAAGGTCCTGGCATCTAGTTTGGGAACACAACTGGAAAGGGACTAGGGTTCAGTGACAGTAGGAGCTGCAGTACCCCAGTGAGGAGGCCGTCTCTTGCTTGGGAGGGAAGAGAAAAGGAAAGATCTGGATAGATTTAAAAAATAAAATCTTAAAATCATCACTCGTTAAGCAGTAATGTCCCTTTCTGGCCAGCTCAGAGAGGGGCTTTGGCCTTTCTGGTGGTGTCTGGTTGTGAAGGCAGGTTAGTGAACTGACTGCTGAAGGGGGAGAAAGGGGGGATTTTTTTTGGTGCTTGTTTCACCACTGGCTAACTTCACAATGTTGGACTAATCACTGAATTTCTCCGTGCTCTGTTTTGTGATAGTTTTGTAAGCTCAGAGGGAGGCTGTGAAGCTTAATCAATTAACTCTGTGTAAATCAGTTTGAAATGAGTAGGTGCAGGCTACCAGAGAGGAGTTAAAAGACTTAAGATAAATAATGCAATATCAACTTCTTTTCACCTGGGAGATATTTTCTGCAGTGCAGAGTTCCCCAAGCAGCACTTAAGTTGACTCATTGGTCCAGGTACGTAGTCCTACCACGCATCTGGGTTTCCCTAGACATGCTTCCTTCCAGAAACCAAGTGCAATATGAGACCCTAGCTGTTTGACTGGGATTTCCATCAGGGTGGTCAGAGGAATAGCCTGCCAAGTATATGGGAAGACTGGAGAAACGGCCACGGAGCATGCACAGATCAATTCTTTAGCATGTGTGTAGACAATATGAGGCACAGGAGACGCGTCAGCCCTGCCGAGTGCACGCTGTGCGAGCGACCTGGGCACGTCCAGGAAATCCAAAGCAGTCCAGACGTGACAGGCTGTCTTGCAGGGCTGCAAGGGAAGCAGCCTTCTCCAGCTTCCTACTCCTCCTTTTGGAGAGATGATTACAGAGGACGTAGAGCTGGCTGAGGGGCAGGAAGCAGACTGCAATCAAGCCTTCGTGAGGATGGTGCAGATCAGCACTATATCCTAAACTAGTTGCAAGCGTCTTGGTTTCTGTACTCAGTGTGATGCTCTAAAGCAGTGCTAGGTCTGATCCAGAAAGTAGCAAGGTCCTGGTAGCATAGGTGTCTGCTTGAGCTAATAATTGTCTGTCTTCCGAGACATACTTGTTGCCCCCCAGCACAGAGTGCTTTTGGAGCTGCATAGCCATTCGGAGAGAGGGTGTGCAAGGTTGTTTGCTCAGGACCACCTGTTTTTGGGAGGTCAGAGCTGTTGCACTGCACTGTGGTCTAATAAGGCAGAGCTGCAGGCTCTGATTTTCCCTGGACGGTGTGGAGTCTGGGTGAGCTTGGGTACCTCCCAACAACCCTTTGAACCGTCAAGGAAGACTTCTTTGCGGCTGGAAGGCAGGGCTTACACCTCCTACAGAATTTGGGTAGAAAGACCCCCAAGACTGAGCAACTCCCTAAAATACTGAACTGTTTTAAAAAAAAAAAAAAAAAAAAAAAAAAGAATCCAAATCTGGTTTGAAAACCAAGTGATAACAACTGTTTTTCGTGTTCAGCCTGGAAGCTTTGAAGCTAACTGGATGTTTTGTTTTTAAAAGAAATTGTAATGTGGATAACAAACTTTGTCTGTTTTTTGTGAACTAGCTTCAACTATCTCTTCCTCCTCTGAGGAAGGGGGTGGGGGGGGAGGAGAAATCCTTGGTCCTAAAGCAGCAAGTACATCACATCAAACATGACTGTGTTAAATACTAAAATGTTCAAAGTACAACTGAGATAGATAAAGGCTTTGATGGGAAGTGGATATTTCCCAGGGACATAACAAGCAATAATCCAGATGTTATGGTGTAATGCAACGAGTGTCCATGGATAGATCGGGAGCTCAAGCCAAGCAGCGCCTGCTGTAGGCCTTAGCCCTCCACTCCCATGCTGTTATGCCATATGGAAGCAATCTCTAGGCCCCTTTAATAGCCAGCTTTGGATTCCATTTTCACAGGGCTCATAGAGCTAAGTGGAGCTGTTTTATGGACAAGTTAGATAGAAGCCTTTCCAAGATAAACATCCAATTCGAAATTAGGACATACCAAGCTGCAAAATTATTTTAGGGCATATTTCATGGAAGCACTGCCATTTTTCTAAGGCGATTGCCAGACTGTAGAATGCCCTTTGATCCCTTGTGGACATTACTCCCTTTTTTGTAAAAAGGATTTTGAAATAGTTGCAGTGTTTAGGGAGGAATATATCTGCCGGGACTTTGAAGTATGTCCATGGGAACAGTCATGCTTTAGCTTTTTGGCCTAAAAGACGAACTTAAAAAAAAAAAAAAATACATTGCAGCTGGATTTATGAATCGAAATCTCATTTTCTTTTTAAAGGTAGGAATTTTTATCCAGTGTGCCAGGAAAGCCAAACGGGGTGTTTAAATAGAAGTATATTAATATGCTTGTGGGATTCAAAGAGTTGGGTATTTTAACCAGTAAAAAGCAAGTAAAAATTTGTGAGTTCACCACCCATGATTTAAGAATTCTATTGCTGGGTAATTGATCCATAAAAAATAATCCTCAGACATCAGGTGCTTTTGCAATCGTTTTATTTAGCAACAACATTTCTTTCTTTTAAAGCTAACATATCCTGTTTTAAAGTGACTTGTGAAATCTTCTCCTCCGTCTTGCTCCCACCTGTATATGACATGATTGAAGTGCAGAACTCTGGCGAGTTAAAAGTTGTTTCACGAGAATAAAATATGGCAGGATTTTTACTGTGAGAAGCCTTGAGTTTTAATATTTCCAGCTCTCGCCCTTACTCCCCCCAAATAAAGGCCTATTTAATCATCCCCTGTCCAGTAAAATATTGCCAGTTAGCAAACTGTTAGTGCAGCCATGCTATGTAGGATGAAACTGTGAAGGTAACAAATGGGGCTACCAGATGTCCATAACTCCAGATAAAGAGCCCAGTCGTGTCATCATTTTTCAGCAGGTGTCAGTAGTTTTGATTCGTGAGCTGGGTTTCTGCGAAGAGGAGCTCCAAAGGCTTTCAGGCAAAGAGCTAATGCCGAGGACAAGCGATTGAGTGACTGGGGATGGGAAAGATGCGTGTTCAGCTTTTTGCCTGGCCGTAGACTTGCTGTACGTGGGTTGCCTTGCAGGAAAGGACAGGTCCAAGTTTTACGGATGTAGCTGGAGATTTTATGTGTTCCTTCTCCCCCCCCCCCCCCCCCCTTCTACCTCTCCTCCCCGGCGCGCTCTTATGTCTTTCCCTGAGCTGAGGTAACAGGCTGCTCTAAAAGTGCTAAGTCTGCTCTTACTGAAGCTCAGCCAGGTTAGTCAAGTTGCCCTCTCTGGTAGTTTAAGCTAATTCTGCTCACTTTGCTCTGATGCTGGACAGTAGTGCTCATGCAGTCCCTTAAGCCGGGCCAGCCGTAAGGTAGGATGGGCAGAAAATTGGTAGCATCTTTCTGCCTTCAGTTCCCCGCTTGCTCCTAGGGGATCACAATACCTCCCTCGCTTCTGATAATTTCGTGACACAGATAGTGTAAGTATAAAAGGGTGGTTTTGTGTGTGTAAATGTTTCACATCACTGACTTTCTTTCAGTCAAGTTTCATGCGCAGTGTGCGACTCTCTGAATCTTTATGCAAGAACCAGTTGTGGAACGGACTTGTTACCATCACGCTACTGGAAGGGAAGAACATTGCAGGAGGGGGCCTGGCGGAGATTTTTATTTTACTAAAATTGGGAGATCAAAGATACAAAAGTAAGGTAAGTTTTAAGAGTTTCCTTGAGTTTGCTAAAGCTAATAAGGTACTTGATGTTTCTTTTACTAGTGTTGTTAACTCAGGTAGAACTATACTTGAATCTCTCTTGTTTAAGTGAGATCAAAACGAGGCGATCAGATCAGGGACGTTAACATTTACTAATATATTTTACATACTAATATAGAAATAGGAAATTAGGGATATTGTGTGCATCTGTTTTCATGCATATAACACACTTATGTTGATGGATGTTCAACAGTGATGTGAAATGAAATAGGCGACATGCATCACGTTTGTTCTCTGCTAGTACAGAAGTCAGGTTTGCAGTATGTTGGAAAAGAATATCTTAAATGGTTTCCAGTGCAGAAGGTTTTTTTTTTTTTTAAAGCACTCTTGAAAATATATTATCTGTAACAGGAAAAAAAGAATACTTGGAATATTCCAGGTTTTTATTAGAAATTTTATTTTTCTAGGCCATGTTTACTTGTATTCAGTAGCATTTCATGGGTATCTAAGAACTGAATGGTGTTCCCAAAGATGTACGGTGCATCTCAGAGAGGCATGTTCTGAGAGGGAAGGAGAGGGGCTGTGATTAAAACAATATTCTGTAGGGAA